GCTCACAAGTTCGAACTCAGCTTGGCTCAAACTCAACTATAAGCTAAGTTTTATTTTTAAAAATAAAAATTATACATATAAAAATATTTTTTTATTTTACATACAACAAAATAAGAATCATAAAAATTTATTTATTATTATATATATAAAATAAAAAAATATACATATAAGAATTATTTTTATTTCACATACAAAAAAATAAAAATTATAAAAAAATATTTACTATCATACATAAAAAAATAAAAATATTATTATATATAATAAAAATTATTTATTTTATATATATTTATATATTTATATGTATATGTATGTATGTGCATAATAAAAAATATTTATTTATTATATTAGGCTTGTGAGTTTCACTGGGCTCAAGCTCAGCTCAATTAGAAAACGAGCCTGTGTATCAGGCTTAAGCTTGGCTCAAAACTCAGTTTAAATCGAGTCAAGCCAAGCTTTTCACGAGCCGAACTCAAATAGCTCATGAAAAACTCAGCTTATGGCCACTCCTAAATATCAGTCCCTTTCCAATTAGTGATTGAAGCAATGATAAAGACCCTGAACCCTACCACTTATTAATCAGGAGAATCGGGTCTGACCCGATTAATACTTGACATATACATTTATCAAGTATAATAACAATTGAGAATTTTATATTGATAATATAACCTTGATAAAAGTGACATTAAAAACTTCACTGTTTATTTGTTGATAAAATATATGTTTTTAATCATATATTTTTTATTTATTACCTATGAAATTTATTCTTATAGACATAAAATATAACAAAAATTATAAAAAAAAAACACAGAAGCTTTGCATATATTATCAACTATATAATCAGTTTATATAAACAGATCCAATTATTAACCATGACAAAGTCATAGAATCAGAAACGGGTATATAATTGGTTGGGTCACTTCAATTCTATTAGATAGACCCAATCCATTGACAGTCCTATATTGTCTAGTAATAATTTGTAAGATATTGAGCACCTTTATCAATAATTTTATTATATTAAAATTGCAATTTTTAAACTGCCCATTTACAAATTGATTGCTTTTCACTCAAATTTCTAAACTGCCCTTTTAGAAATTGGTCGTTTCTCGTTTGCTACTTTACCAACAGCCCAAGAACCTCAAGACTTGGATTTTAGAACATGTCAGGCCAAGTCTCAATAACTCACTTTAGACAGCTCTCTTTTACTCAGTAGGTTCTGGCATCAATCGTTACACACTTAACCTTGAAGATTGATTGTAACTTGTAAGGGGCCAAAAGCTAATAAATATAGATTAAGGGGCCAATAGTTAATAAACATAAATGGATATAAGTAAAAATATAAATGAGATTGTGAAAAATCTTAAATCATTTGAGGGGGGTTTTTCCCTAAAAGGTTTTCTTTAAAACCAAACACAACAGCCACCCCTGGTTTTGCCCTAAAAAGGTTTTCTTTAAAACCAAACACACTATTACAGGTTTTATAGCTTTTAAGTACGGACAGGCCCACTTCAGATTTTTGAATTCCAGTCTAATCGATGCAGATTTTAAAAAGACATGCAAATACAATTTTTGAAAATTTTAGATAGATTTCCACGCCAACTAAGCATTTTACTATGCCTATGAGATGGCAATACAACGTGGAATTCACATCACATTCTTTCTTATTTCTCTTTTAATTTTGAAAAATTTCTCTTTTAATTTTGAAATTGCCCTTAACATATAAAGACTAAAATGACCCTGCTTAAAAAAAGAAGGGTCTAGTGATCTTTCCCGCTCTCTCTCCTCTTTCGTTGTCTCTCCCACTCTAACCTCTCTTCCTACAACTTTGTTTCAAAAATTTCTTCTCTATCTCTTGTAACTTTGAGGTTACGCTTTAAGTATTTTCATCTTTAAACTCCACACTAGGGCTTTCCCCAATACAACAACCCTAACTGAAGCATTAGAAATTGTCAATTGAACACCGGTGTGATTAACATGTATCTAACTATCAAAATCTGAAATGGGCTTGTCTCTACTTTTCCCAAATCTGAAATGGGCTGGGTTGGATTGGAATTCATAAATCTAAAATGAGCCTGTCTGTACTTTTCCCATATAAAAATTTCTTGACTTTCGAAACATGAGTCTAAGTCATAAGCGGTTTAAGGTTTAACCTTCAAGACTCTTACCAAAAATAAAAGAAAGACTTCAAGACGTTAATATCAATTTTTTCACACTCACTTACGTTGTATTTGGTTCCAGTATTGTTTTTTTGAAGAGGAAATCTACTCGAAACATTTTACCTTTAATAATACAAAACATTTGAAGTAGAAACAGAATGGTGCCAAACCATGGTTTGAAAATCAAGCAGAACCTGATGGTTGAACCAGTTGACCCAAGAACCGATCAGGTAATCAGTTCTGTTTCACTCTAAAACCACTTTTTGGTCAAAAATCGTTGATTTGATCAGTCACCCAATGACTCAGATAGTTGAACTGTTGATCTGGACAATGGTTTTTAGCTATTTTTTCATTTTACTTTTTTAGTCAAAACAAGGTCATCTGTTCGAACCAGACGATTGGACCATTTCAACCCAGGAACTGGTCCCAAAAACAATTGTGTCCAGTCCGGTTTTAAAAACCTTGTATCAAACATAACTTTAATGTTAATTAAAAGAAAAGGTAACTTTTGTAGTGTTGATCACGTACGCTTCATTTCTCAACCTTTACAGCGGATGGTTATTTTTGGTGGAAGCCATGCTCTTTTTCTTCATAATTTGGGTTCCCAATCGTCGCTGCTTGCCTTAATTCATGGCTTCCATCTCACTCAGCGTGACTTTTCAGCATTTTTCTTAAATTCATCATAATTTTTTAAAACATTCAGAAAACCTTGCGTTAGTGGCTTTTTATTTTCCAAACTCACCATCTCTTAGATCACTGTTAGTGTTCATTGACAAAAATTGTCTACATCAACATAAATGAAATATTTATGATCAAACTACCCCTAAACGACTTGTTAGCCTTATTAAAATGACAATTGTACTGTGCAAGTAGATATGGAGCTTAAGATGAGTTTGATTTGAATCAAAAGCATTCTTTCTTTTATTTTTTTTTTTATTTGAAGTTTCCTTTTTTACTTGAATATGTAAATTGGGTAGAAAATTCTTTAGACTGAAATATTTGAGAAATATTTTTGCTGTTATTTTATCAAAGTTTTGCTTTATTTTATATTTATAATAAAACAAACGCTAAATTAGCAATTTACCAGCATCCGTTATTCTATTTAACATCAACTTATTAACATGAGGTTCCCTGGACATTTTGAAAAGTTATGATAGTTCTAAGAGAAATGATGAAAAGTCATATAAGTTTTAGACAATTTCACTAAAATGGTCAATTTAGAAAGAGTACAAATGCAAGCATAAATATATACAGTACAAATACATGCAAAATAATACAAATACAAGATTTGCACTCTACAAATTTGTATTTATACTCTTTCCAACTGAGCCTAATAGAAAAAACAGAAAGTACAGAAAATTAACAGTACAAACAGTGAAACATATCATTTCCTTTAGGGAGAATGATGGTTCAGTCCAGGGTCAGAATTTGTAGGATCAAAGTACATTTTGGGTAGGTCCCAGCTCGGAATTGATGCCAATTCACAAGCGGGTATAGGTGCATAGAGTGTGGGTTTTTTACCTTTTGAATGTTTATAATTTTGTAGTGGAAATCAGAAATTTGCATTGGGCCTGTCCGTACTTCTCCATTTCCTTTATTTATTGATTATAGAAAAAAAAAACAATTTTTGGCACTTTCTGCCCAATGGGTATGATTTAAAAGGGAAATTGTTACTCACCATGAGTTTTCAGCATTTCTTTTAAACTCACCACAACTTTTCAAAACTTCTAAAACTCACCATGTCATTAAGTTTTTATTTTCCAAAACTCACCTTCCATTAGTGCACCATTAATGTTTCTTAACAAAGGTGTCCACGTCAGCATAAATAACATTTTTTTATGACCAAATCACCCTTGAATGGCGAGTTAGAGGAAAAGGGTCTTTTTCATTTTTCAATTTTCTTTTTTATGTACATTTTAGTGTTTTGTTATAATTTCTAATGTTTTTTATAATTTCTGTTTTTTACATTTCCTATTTTCTACTATCTATAAAATTTCCTGTATTTTTTGTTATTTATTTGCAATTTCTGTGTTGTTCTATAAATTTTGATGTTTTTTATACAATTTTTATTTTCTGATTTTGTTTTTTAATTTCTGTAGTTTCTATAATTTGAAAATAATTTTTTATTTTGTGTGCAGTTTCTATAATTTTTTATATTTTTTGCAATTTCTTTTTCATGTATTTTATATTTGAAAATATTTTTGAACTTTTCCTTCTTTTCATATCTAAATATTAAAATATATATATTATATTTTTCTATAAAGGTTAAAATAGTAATATATTAACAACTATTAGTCTTTAATGTCGAGTTAGTGAGATGGTAAATTTTAGACATTTTAAAAAGTTGTGAGTTTAAGGGAAATGCTGAAAACTCATGACAATTTCCCTTAAAATTATATCTTTAGAGCCTGGGTTTTATTTATTTGGATGAATATGTTATTTTTCTTTCTTGAATAACTTGATCTTTTCTTTTTTACTTTTTAATCTCAAATTGTTGTTTGAATTGTTTAATTTTTTTCTTTTTTTCTTAAGGAAACTTTACGAGCCTGAAAGTCATCTTTGTATTGGCTTGAAGGCTTAAGCCTGCGATGACATGTAGCTTCATTCGTTGAACTGTTGAAGTCGGTTATATGGGTTTTGTCTGAACATGGATTTAATTTCTTCCCTTTTCCTTTTTTCTGCAAAACTGGTCTTTGAGTTTAATTATGAATTTAATATATGGGGTGTTACTGAAAAACCAGTCTTAAATGAATGGTTTAAAATGATTTTTCATTTCTTCTATTTTTTACCTCTTGTTTTGTTTGTTAGTGTAAAGTATGCCTGAAACCAGAAAACGTGTTGAATGTGAGTATGTTCTAGTTCAGCTAGTTTCTGTTAAATCTGACTTTTTTTAATTGCTGGGATAGTGAAATCTGAGGGGTAGAATTTTTATGGGTTTTGGGTATTTAAGAAGCTCTCGGTCTCCTCGTTTCCCCGTAAGAGAAGTCGTAGTTTCTTTTTCTCTTCTGAGATCTACTGCTTCCAGCTATCTATTCCCGTTTTTTGTATTCTCTTTTTAGATCTTTCGGAAGTAAACCAGAGGGAGCAAAAGAAGGTAATGTTGCTCTGACCTTCAAGCTTCAAGCAGAATACATGAATCAATTATAGCCTAAGTGTTCGTGATCTCATGATCTGTTTGTACTGCTAATTTTCTGTTCAAAGAGAATCTGTCGGTTTCTCATTTTGGTTTGCTGCCTGACCTCCCTCTAATTGTTTGCTGTGAATTGGTCTCCGAGAGACGTCCTCATTCTTTTCTGTTGTATATTTTAATGGGTTCTCTTGTATGTTGAATGAATCTGCACATAATGCACAAATTGAGACATTTTTGGAAGATCTGATATCTACGACTGTAACTCAAGGCTGTCATTTCCGTTGGCTTTCATTTACCGAATTCTAACTAGGAATCGAGCTTTTTTTTGAAGGATTGACTGGAAATCCAATTAGAGAAGCCATATGTTTGGGAAATTTCATCAATTTCTCCTTAAAACTCTGGATCTGTTGGTCAGATCCTTGTTTTATTCTCGTGACAACTGTTTCTATTTGTCTGTCTGTTAGTTCGTTATGTATTCCTTAGAATTGTTACTATTTCTCACTCCATGGAGTTTCTTTGATTTCTTTGCACTGAAAAAAAAAAAAAACTAGCCTTTTCCTATTGCTATCACCTTCTACCCTCCTCCTTCAAAAATGGATAATTTTCAATTTCTTGTTTGAAATGGAACTCAGTCACAAACACTTTCGTGGATAATTTCTTGATAATATTGTGTTCCTTTAATGCGTTAGCAGAATTCTACTTTTATCCATTAGTGCTCTATGAGCAAATACACATGATAGCTCTGCATCCTGTTAGCTAGACTCTAGCTATTCTTCCCCCCTCCTTGCTGCCTTGCTGGTATATAATTTATATATAGATCTAGAACTTGTGAGTTGTGACCTTGAATTTTTTTTCTCTGGAATGATATGAAACCCATTGTTGCAGGTTATCAATTAAAATTGAAAATGGTGAAGATCTGTTGCATTGGAGCTGGGTATGTCGGTGGACCTACCATGGCTGTCATAGCACTCAAGTGCCCTTCTATTGAAGTGGCTGTTGTGGATATATCAATCCCTCGTATCAATGCCTGGAATAGCGACCAGCTCCCCATCTATGAGCCAGGCCTGGAAGATGTGGTGAAGCAGTGCAGAGGGAGAAACCTTTTCTTCAGCACTGATGTAGAAAAGCATGTAAGCGAGGCAGATATTATTTTTGTATCTGTGAACACCCCAACCAAGACACAGGGCCTTGGTGCAGGCAAAGCTGCTGATCTGACCTACTGGGAGAGTGCAGCACGCATGATAGCTGATGTATCAAAATCCAACAAGATTGTAGTTGAGAAATCAACAGTCCCAGTGAGAACAGCTGAGGCAATTGAGAAGATTTTGACCCACAACAGTAAGGGCATCAACTTCCAAATTCTGTCAAACCCAGAATTCCTTGCTGAGGGGACTGCCATCCAAGACCTCCTCAAACCTGACAGGGTGCTCATTGGAGGCCGGGAGACCCCCAATGGCCAGAAAGCAATCCAAGCGTTGAAGGATGTATATGCCCATTGGGTGCCTGAAGACCGAATTATAGCTACCAACCTATGGTCAGCAGAGCTTTCCAAGCTTGCTGCAAATGCCTTCCTGGCCCAGAGGATCTCATCTGTCAATGCCATGTCTGCACTCTGTGAGGCAACTGGTGCAGATGTTACCCAGGTGTCCCATGCTGTTGGTAAGGACTCTAGGATTGGGCCCAAGTTCCTCAGTGCCAGTGTTGGCTTTGGTGGGTCTTGCTTCCAGAAGGACATCCTGAACCTGGTCTACATCTGTGAATGCAATGGCCTCCCTGAAGTAGCAAACTACTGGAAACAGGTCATCAAGGTGAACGACTACCAGAAGAACCGTTTTGTCAACCGGGTTGTCTCTTCCATGTTCAACACAGTCTCAGGCAAGAAGATTGCTATTCTTGGGTTTGCATTCAAGAAGGACACAGGTGACACAAGGGAGACCCCTACCATTGATGTGTGTAAAGGGCTCTTGGGGGACAAGGCCCGCTTGAGCATTTATGATCCTCAGGTCAATGAGGACCAGATCCAAAGGGACCTCTCAATGAACAAGTTTGACTGGGATCACCCACTTCACCTCCAGCCCCTCAGCCCCACCGCAGTGAAGCAAGTGAATGTTGTTTGGGATGCATACGAGGCAACCAAGGATGCTCATGGTGTCTGCATTTTGACAGAGTGGGATGAGTTTAAGACGCTTGATTACCAGAGGATATATGATAACATGCGGAAACCAGCATTTGTGTTTGATGGCAGGAACATTATTAATGTGGACAAGCTGAGAGAGATTGGTTTCATTGTGTACTCCATAGGGAAGCCCTTGGATCCATGGCTCAAGGACATGCCTGCTGTGGCGTAGAATACAAGTATGGATTGAACACGGCTTGCACTGATCACTCGGAACTGAGATTTGAGGAAGAAAGTTTCATTCTTCAATTTTTCTTTTGAACTGAGATTTGAGGAAGAAAGTTTCATTCTTCAATTTTTCTTTTCTTTTTACTCCTTATTCTGTTTATTGCTATTAGTCTTGGTTGATGTTGTTTCTTACCGGTTCATATTAGGTTGTGTTTGGTACCATTGCTACTTCTACCTCCAATGTTTGATATTGGGGTTGGGCAATAGGATATTTTTTTATATCATTGCTGCTGCTTCATGAATTTGAGTTTCCACTATAAATGCCAATTTTTTAGTGGAAGTGGTTATTTAATGCAATGTGACAAGACCCCAAATAGATGAGTAGAAATGGCAATGGTACCAAACACAGCTCTAATTAAAAACTAGGGCTTATTCCATCTTATGGAAATCAATTAAGAGGCTCTCTATGTTGCCTTACAATGTATTCCGTGACCTGAGATGATCAATTTCTTCTTTTTACTTGGCTTAATAAGCCGTTATAAATGAATTCATTGAAACTTTAGAAAGCATTTGTCATCGATCTTCTGTTATTTTTTTATTCGAACTCTTCTAAAGCTGGGTACCTTGTTTTTCTTTATAACTTCCAAGTTGCTCCTTTTCTTCATTTTACTTCCAACAAAGAGTAGGCGGCTCACATTGCTTTTGATTTTCTTCTTGAATGTTTTATATAAAAATCGTGGGAGGGATTAACTAATAACTCTCCCATTACCCAAGAATATTTCAGGATGCATACAATTGGTGAAATGCGTCTCTGCCTTGTCTTTTCATGGTGTCTCTGGTCTAATTATTGTTGCCAATGGCATACAAATAAGAACATCAAAAACTTGAAGCAGGGTCCCTTTGGCATTGCACCGACAATCCTCACTGCTAGACTAGAGGCTGAGGCTATCCTCCAACCTGCTGCTGCCAGCATTGCTAAGGGTTCCTTGTAATATTCTTGGGGTTAACTCATAACTTATTACTCTCCCATTGCCAATTTGTAGGTTTGAGGTAAAAACAACCTACAATAGTATCAAACACAGCCAACCTTCCTTTTTTCTATCAACACTCAATACTTGCTTAATTCAACTCCTTGACTTTTCCACCAACAGTCGCTCAAGCGTCAATTTCGATTGGCCAACACAATGGAAGACAGCTAGTCTGGTTGGCGAGTTTTCACTACATCATCTCTTTATTAGCGAGGTTTTAGCTCAGGGTTTGTTTGGTTCGTCGTTGAAATCGGAATGGGAATTGGAATGGTCTATTTACGTAATTTGTTTAGTTTAAATAGAATAATAATGGGAATTGGAATAAATAGGAATGAAATTCTATTCTCAAGGAAAAAAGCAGAAAATGACTATTCTCTCAAATAGGGAATGCCATTCTAGTAGGAATTACTGAAATATAATGGGATTTCGATTCCAGACCTCTATTCCTGTGAATCAAACGGGGCCTCAGTTTTGTTCGACTGGATGGATTCATGAGAGTTGAGCTCGACTTAAAAGACGAAAGTCATTACCAGTTTCAGCTCTTAACATCACTCGGACATGGCTTTGGACTGAAACACTAGATTTGGAATGAATGGGTGATTCATTCATTCTAAGAATAAAATTAAAAGAGGAGCGCGAGAATTACCGCAAAATCAGTGGGAGTTGATTCTTCAGGTTACCTTTTGGTCGACCTTTGTGAACTGAGCTTCACAACCACAAAGGAAGACGTCTTTTGAGGCCTATATGAATAGTTAAATAAAGCCTACGCGGTTCACAGTTACACTTACACACATGGCTACGCCCATGGAAAGCAAAACCAAGTAGGTTCCTTTGCTGTGGGCAAAACTGGACCCCACATAAAACATAATGACCCACACCAGATGGTTGAACCGGTGATCCATTTACCTGACCTATCTGGGTCCCAGTTAAGTTAGTTGAACAATGAGTTAACTGATTAGGTTAACTCATTTATTTATTTAGAGAAAATTTCACTTTAGTTTCCTGAACTTTGGGGGTAGTGTCAAGTTAGTACCCAAACTTTCAACCGTGTTATTGCAGTACACCAGTACTTAAATTTTCAAAAAGTGTCAAATTGGTCCATACCGATAATTATCTTTTGAAAATGTCAAAATTACCCTTCAAAACAAGACATAGTTCATTGTCTTTTACCTTTAGATCTGAAACGCATTTTTTTCTGTTTATTTTTTTGCTTTCAGTTATTGTTTCCCTCTATCATATTTCATGTTTTTTTCTCTTTTTCTTTGAAAATAACTGGTTCAGTCTCAAGGTACAAAACAATGAACAATGTCTTTTTTTAAGAGTAATTTTGACATTTTCAACAGATAATTGACGGTGAGTTAATGGCAGGGATCAACTTAACACTTTTTGAAAGTTTAGGTATTATAGTGACACATTTAAAAGTTTGGGTACTAACTTGACACTACCCCCAAAGTTCAGGGTAATGAAGCGAAATTTTCCCATTTATTTATTTAACCTTCACATGCCTAAACAACAGGGTATCCAATCCATAACCCCCCAACTCTTTTGGCAGGAGAGGGACTTGATCCCCAGTCTCCATGCCTCATTAATAAGAAACCTCTAATGTGTACCATCCTTTAATTTAGTATCTTAAAGAAGGTTTAAAATATTGATATAAGTAAAAATTGTGGATCATTGGTTTTTAATAAACATAGTTCAAAGTATCCATACTCTTGATATGCAAAATTATTTAGAGCTTCAACAAATTGAAGCTTATCACACTTAGTTGGTTTAGGTGATTAGTCTTCAACCTAAGCGTAACTCTGGCTTAGGCTAGACCTAGGTGAGCAACCCAGGTGCAAAAATGTCAAATCTCTCTCTCTCTCATGGAAATTTTCTCTTCTTAGTAATGCTTGTAACTTGTAAGTCAGCGTTGAAAATTTGATTTTTAAATTTGTATGTTTCCATCATTTTTCAACATTTACCAATTGTTTTACAATACTTCGTAGCTCATATAAACCATTAAAGTAGGTGTTTCTTATGTGTATATGGATTATTTATAATCATCTAAAATTTATGTTTAATGTTATTAATATATTTTTAGGATTTATACAAGTTTATCTAAGTTATTCATGCATACCTAAGGCTATGTTCAGTTTGAAGGAAAAAGTAGGGAAAGGAAGGAAAAGGTAGGGAAACCATTACAAGGTTTCCACCTTATCTATATGCACCCAATAAACCTCTTAAAATCATTGTTTTAAAAGCCTCTTGAGGCGAGGCCAAAGGCCTAAGCCTTGAGGCGAAGCTATGAAAAAAGGCCTGGCCTCAATAGCTTTAGACCCCATCAGCAAGACTTAGGGCCTTGAGTTATTTGAGGCTTACACCTTTGGGCCTTTGGCCTCAAAATGTCCAAGGCTTAGGCTTCAACTATTCAACTTGCTAATGTGGAATATGAAGGTTTACATAGGGGCAAACATAAATTTAAGACAAAAAAGCCTTGTTTTGTATGTATTGGTGTAATGAGCAAATAAATAAACATACAAATAACACAAAAATGTATATAGAATGTGTAAGAAAATAGCTTGCTTTATTATTATTATTATTTGATAATTCTCATTTGCTCATTTATCTCATACTTGATATTCTATTTCTTCTAAAGCACATGCATCATATATATAGTCTTCACAAATGCATATTAGTGCAAGAAATGAAATAGGAATTGCTTTGTTCTTAAAATAATTTTGGTTCATATCCCTAAATTGAAAGTTTGATAAGTAAAAAACTACTTTGGTAAGATTCTAACCCAAATTGTATTGTATTACCCTTTTTTAAGGTATTTAAAAAAATCTTTTTTTAAAATTAAATAATATATAACTAACATTGTAAAATAAATTAAAACTGAAAAAAATATTTATGGTTCAAAGTGTTGATAACCAATACATTCCTTTCAACATATTGGGGTGTATTGATACTTTGAACCAAGAATCCATGTCTAAGACCCCAATTTTATGTTTTCATGTCTTTATTGTTTATGAATTATATCCTTTTCTTTTTTTGCTCAAGGCTTACGCCTTGCCCCTATGAGACACCACCACCTTGCCTCCGCCTTTAACCTCTTAAAACCTTGCTTAAAATTGCATTTCCAATGCTTTTAACCTTGGTCAAATCCAAGGTTTGGGATTAAGCAGCCTATGGCTTTATGTCAGTCTTTGAGCTTCACCTGAATCCAGAAAACAACTTGGTGGTTTCCAAACTCCACCCAAGATTAATGGTTCAATTTCAGTATTCCAGAACATGGAATATAGGAAATCAAGCTGAGTTGGGAAACATGTTTATCCTCCAATTTTTGCCTGGTTGATCACATTGAATACCATAAAAGACCTCTTGATTGTGAGTTTCATGAATTATGAAACATAAGACTCCTTAGAGCTGTGCTAGGCTGGAGTCGTTACTTGACGTAATGCTAAAGTTCCTATTTTGGAGTGCTGACGCCAAGGTTTTAACTTTTAAGCAGTGTTCTTGAACATAGTTGACCTGGACGGTCAGACCATTCATCTCAGGAACCATTGACTTAGCCAGCAAACTGCTGATCCAGGCAATCTAACGTCGATCTGTTTGACCCAGACCACGGTTTTTTACCATTTTTATTTTAAATATGTATATTTTTTAAATTAAAATAGGTCATTCATTCAAACCGAATAATCGAACTATTGACCCAAAAACCAATGGCCAAAGTAATTCCAATTCCAGGTTGATTTTTAAAACATTGATTTAAACTACCAATACAGTCCAACACATCAGAGGGCATACCGGACTTCTAGATAATGCACTTTTATTTATTTTTTTATTTTTTTGAAACATGTTCAGAGGGGTTGGTATAAGGCCTGGTTACCCAAAAAACTGGTCATAACCCGAAACTTCCCATACCAATATGATATGCATCGGCCAATACAATGCAAAATTTCGAACAGGTGACAGCTTATAAACTGTTTGGTCAAAAATATGGAGAGTAGTAGATCAGTCATCTGAAAGGCTTTTTACATCTAAGGGTGTCAATAGACCTGTTTTGGATTAAACCCCGTTCAGTCCAAAATCAATTTGGATGGATTGGACGGACCAATAAGACATTGGATTGGACCAATCCGATCCAAAATATTTATTAGATTGAATTAGGTTGGATTAAACCAATATCTAGTCCATTGATACAAGATAAGAATATATGCATCAGTAGACCGGATTTGGGTTGAAAACTATTTAAATCAAAATGAATTTGAACAGATTGGACGGTCCAAACATTAAATTGAACTGGTCCAAAACATTCATTGGATTGGATTGGACCTAGTCCATTTATAATGAACTCACATTGGACTGGATCGGATTGGACCAAATCCAGTCCAATTGACACTACATCATCCGCTTGAGCTTATCCAGAGCGCAGGTTCGGTCTCTACCAGTCACTCCAAAGACATTAGGTAACTGGGAGTCTGAAACTAAGATTTGATAATGGCTTTCGGGGCTTCTAAGCTGAAAAATACGTCGAACAATCGAATGTATAATCCATCAACTACATTAGTTAGATTTATAAGTGAATTAAATAAAGCAATGAAGCGATAGTCACATCAAATATGCATTTTAAAACCCAGTTACTTCATCGACATGGCACATGATTCAATCCCAAGCTTACCACACGAGAATTTGAACAAGTGTTTGAAACCCAGAAAACTAAAATGAATAAATAAAGGGCCAAAAACAAAACATGAACGAGTATTGAATCAAACTGGTGTCTCTTCAGATGGTTCTCGACAGCCTTCCAGCTGCACCTACTAACAAAGCTAAAACACAGCGAAGCAAACCACAACCTAGTGACTTTGTTAAAAGTTAAAGCACATTAATCCCAAGAGAACCAAGACAATCCATACAAACGAAAAATACCAAGAAACTCAAAAAATGATCAAATTACAACAACTTGGCTATATACACATTGGGATAAATCTACAATTACAAAATTGGTACTAAGGAATCATGACAACCGATTTTTGGCCGTCTGCAGAGAAAAATGTTTGATCTCCATCCTCTACAAACTGTATTTGGTAAACTACTCGTACAAAAAAATATATATCTACAGGATCTCTTTCTCTTTTCACCATCTCAATCCCTAAAATGCCTGGTTGTTAGTCCTTTACCGAACGTCCTTGACCGCGCGGCATTTTCTTTGATCCAGCTGTTGCGGATAAATTAAATAATTTCAGACTACTCAGTGCTATATAAGGAATATTAAATTGCATAATATCTTATTACACATAAGCACATTTTAGTTGATTTTGTTTTGAATATAAGTTGGTCAAAAGCTAGTATTCACTGGCTTAATGTACACAAGTAGATGTACCCCAGCATGCTGCTTATGGTAAGCTCCCAAAATACCACTAAGGGATCGGGAGACTTTATTTGGATTTTGGAAGGCCAAATGACAGTTACATAATGCATGTTAATATACTGCAGAGGTTGTCATCAACACAATGGTATAATACATGAGCTTATGCATTAGACCAGCCAAACTGCTAAACCAATAATAAAAACCATCTGAAAGTGCATGTGGAAAATCAATAAGAAAATATATATAGATAATTCCAAATTGTGGTCACAAAAGGTGCATTTTTTGGACAAGTATTGAATAACAGCTTATGGATTATTGTGGATGTCCCAACTTCCAACAGGGCTCAGACAGCAGATTAATGAATAATGACCACCCCAGGGGTTTAGTATCAGCACCACTAATATAACAACTTCACATTTCCTCTGCTTGTTTGTTCATACAAAATTCTGGACACTCGATACAACTGACCACCCTAACCCTTACTATTTGGTAAAAAGACTAAATCATTTTTGTAAAAACAAAATAGGGGCACCTTAGTGCTAAGCCTAACATAGTACAACCAATAGGGTATGTTTTAAGATTTTCAATAAATCTAGCACTTTGGATATTATATAAAATGCAACTAAAATATACCCATTGTTCTTTCTGATAACAAATAAGAAATGCAGTGCAGTTATTTGAAAAGAGACAGGAAAGCTGTAAAATTGCAGAGTGGCTTTGTCAAATTGTAATGAGGATTCATGTGGAACTAGAAGAAGCCAAACTGTTACCAAGATCAAATGTTCCTAAAGTTCAAGAGAAGGGATTAGCAAGGGAGGGATTACAGAGAGAGAGATGAAGGATAGAAGAGAGAAGAGAGAAGTACACTCGAGATAGAGCTGCAAGTTGGTCAGGTCCAACTGGTGGTTTTGCATGGGTTGGGTGTGGATTTTTCAGGCTTTTGGACTGGGCTTGGAACTAAAAACTTGGGATTGTGTTGAATACCACAAGGGACTTAAAAGGGAGTAGTGCAACTAAAGCACAAGGGAATCCTAAAGCATGTGGAGCAAGGCAAGGTGCAGGTCTGAACAAGGTGAGGCATCATTTTTTGAAAAAAAAAAATCTAAAGGCTGAAAGAAATAAAGTAATTCAGCATGAGGAGTGCACCTAGTGACATAAAAGGGAGGAATGCAACTAAAGCACAAGGGATTCCCAAAGCACGAGGAGCAAGGCAAGATGCAGGTCTGAACAAGGTGTGCCATCACTTTTTGAAAAAAAAAATCTACATGCTGAAAGAAATAAAGTAATTCAAAACTTTATAGTTCAATTGATTAGAGTGTTGTCTTAACACCAAATTTGTAACCATGCAAATTCAAGTCCTCCATGGGCTATATATATTCAAGGTTAGTTCATCAAAAAATAGCACTTAGGCAAGTGAGGTGTACCCCCATAAAATGATCTTTGCCCGTCTGTCATGGATAGATAGATAGATAGATAGATAGATAGATAGATAGATAGATAGAGAGAGAGAGAGAGAGAACATACGATCTTCCACATCCTTCAGCTGGTAATAGTGTGGTGCAATTTCCACCAACCACTCAGGTTTTAATTCTGTAACCTGCAATTTCAAATTGTGTTTTAGCAATGATTGCATTTGCTAAAATGATGATCTAAATAAAAAACAGTGCTTGGGTTTAAACAAGAGCTTCTACCTGGCGCATGTATTCCTTGGTTGTGAGCACCAGTTCATGGTAAACAACCCACCTAGGCAGCACCTGAAAAGAGAGAGGGAAAAAGAGAAACAAAATAAATTAACCAGCTTACATGTTTGACAACAACATTATTTCTATTCAAACATAACGACCTTCGCAGTCTCATAATGAATATTCCCCTGGCAGGCAGGCACTTAAATCCTGTATCTACAAAGCTTACTAAAGGAAATCCAGCAATGACGATCATGGCACCTTATCACTTCTCTCAAGTGAAGAACCACTTACATAACTGGATTAATCGCATCCAGCATCAGCCAAGTATGCAAAGACCACGCAGAAAAGCATAAACATAAAAACCCATCACAGTCCAACACATTGTTCAGTTATAGTATGACCAGGTTATCACATCTGGTTATTTGTTCAAGCCTGAAGGGTCCATCCACCCACAACCACAAAGGATGGTAGATTCTGGGAGTGTCACATTCTTAAAGATTTAACTGGATTAAAGGACTTCGTTTTGCATGCATGTTCTGTCCAACTGACAGTCATAAGGATACTGGATACTAGATGCAGAAGGGAAGCTTTAGTGCAAACTGTCATGCACACTGTTTCCATCTTTTCTAAAGAACTACAAGTTAATCCTTTTAAGTTCAACAGTCAAATTAAATAGAATCCAGGCATGGTGATTCTTCAGGAGACAAAGAGGCATGCAATGCTAAATTTGTTGAGGATGTCTGGAGTAGGAGATGCTGTAGATAGCTAATGAAGCATTCAGTGGGAACTTCGGGGGGTGGGGGTGGGGATCCTTGTCATCTGAGACAGGACTATTATAGGCTCTTTCTCAGTTGCAGCTCGCTTCATTAATCTTTCTGGCAGAACTTGCTAGTGTTTGATATATGGCCCAAAGTTCAAACTCAACTCAGTAAAGGGACAGCTTTTGGAGTGAGATTCAAAGTATGGAAGAACACTGGGACATTTAGGAAGATCAAGAGAATGCAAAAGCTATTTTGGACTTCTACAAGGATTTATTTTTCAGCTCACAACACAGACAAGAACTACATGGACTTGTCTTCAACAGCTTGACAGAAGATGAGTGGGATTCCCTGGAAGCTTATTTTACCAAAGATGAGGTGTTTGGGGTTATCAATGACCTGATGAGCAATAAGGTACTCAGGCCAGACAGCTTTCCCTTTAAATACTGTAAGAAATGTTGGTCTTTCATTAAAGAGGAGTTAATGGAAGTTTTGAAGGAATTCCATGAGGAAAGTACTATCACATAGCCACACAGGCTGCAAATTCTACCTTTATTTTATTAATCCCAAAGAAGCAAGGAGCTTTGGACATAATGGACTTCCACCCCATAAGCTTAATTGGCAGTATCTACAAGATTATCACTAAAGTCTTGGCAAACAGGTTAAGGAAAGTCCTAAGGCAGGATAATTTCTCCCTCGCAAGGGGCTTTTGTGGATGGCAGGCAGATTTTGGGCGGCTCCTTAATAGCGAATAAATGTATCGACTCAAGATTGAGGTCAAGCATGCTGGGTGTAGTATGTAAACTGGACATGGAAAAAGCTTATGATTATATCCAATGGAGCTTCCTCGACTACCTTATGAGAATAATGGGTTTTGGCTCTTCGTGGAGTGGGTGGATCTCAACTTGTCTATCTAGCACCAAATTCTCAATCCTCTTAAATGGTCCCGTGAAAGGTTATTTCAAGGGAAAGTGAGGGTTACATCAAGGCAACCCTTTTTCCAATTCTTATTCATCATTATGGTGGAAGCTTTAAGCAGGCTGATCAGTAGAGCTGAAGCTGGTGGCTTCATTGAGGGGCTCAAAGTCAACCAGAATAGCCAGTCTATAACCCTCCTTCGGTTCACTCATTTTCAACAGAGACATAGCCTCAGGTTTGGCACTATCTGATTGAATAAGTTCTTATTTATCTTGTTGTCTTCTTCAACTGAGATCAGAGAAGTTGACCTACGACTGGTACAAGGTTGCTTTACCTTTTTTTTTCCTTTTCTCTTGGTCGTGTACCAAGAAAAAACCCTATGAAACAAAACTGCTGAATGCTGTCAGAGGAATTGTGAGGTTCAGGCCTTTTTTTTTGTGGATCATGTGATCCTGTATCTGAGAATGGGATACTTGTAGGTCACGAATGACCTGCTTTTACCCTGTTTTGGTGTGACTCAACTGTTTTATGATCTCTTCTGGTAGTTGGTGTGTTTAGATGACTGGAAAATTGGACTGTGACTGTGACTCAACTGTTAAACCTGTGTAGTGCTAAAATCAACCTAAAAAAATATATTTTTTGGAGAATTGGAGCTGGTCTGTGTTCAGATTGTGTCCAGACCAGAGTATGTGCATGTGGGTTGCATCTCTAGTGTGTTTTTAAGACCTTTTTGGGTGTTGGGACAGATCGTAAGGTGTGTGTCGAAACTGAAACGTGTTTGAATCATGTCCTCTGAGAATTCTGCAATTTCTGGGATTTCAGGAGGTCAAAATGAAATGAGTGGGGGGATGGATATGAGTTTCCCCATGGCTGTAATTCCCTTTGATGGACTAAACTACCTTGAATGGTCTAGGGGAATTAAACTTTACATTACTGCTAGGGGGAAAATAGGGTATATTAATGGTAAAGTGAAGGAACCAAAGACTAGAAGTGCTGAACATGACAGGTGGGACCAAGAAAATAGTATGGTGATGTCATGTCTCTTGGTTTCCATGCTGCCACAAGTAAGGAAGACGTTTATGTGGGCTGAAACAGCATGTGAAATATGGAAACAAGCAAAATCTACCTATTTAGAGCAGAGCCACTGACGTAGTCTATCCCGCCCAATGAAGCCACTTGAGCCACTGACGTAGTCTATCCCCTGCATAGCACCTTAGATAGGTTTCCAAACTCCGGTTGACCACCTCAGTTTGCCCATCTGTTTGAGGATGGTAGCTGGTAGATTTGAAGAGTTTCACTCCCTGTAGTCGAAAAAGTTCTGCCTAGAAACGACTCATAAAAATTGGGTTGCAGTCTGAGACAATAGAGTTAGGGGTACCATTCAGTCATGCCACCTCCTTAGTAAAAATCTCAGCCACCATTGAAGCTGTAAAGGGGTGGGAAAGAGGGAGAAAATGGCAGTATTTGGTGAATCTACCAACCACTATGAGAATGACGTACTTGCCATAGGAAAGGGGAAGCCCCGTTATGAAGTCCATGGATATATCCGCCCACACTTGTGTAGGAATTGGGAGTGGTTGTAGCAGTTCGACTGGAGACTGGGTATCAGCCTTATTTTTCTGGCAAATGACGCATTCGGCTAAATTTTTGGACCGAATTCTGCATGCCTTTCCAGTGGAATTGAGTGGCTAGTCTCTTGTAAGTGCGCAAAATCCCTGAGTGTCCTCCAGCTAGTGATGAGTGGAACACTTCCAGAAGCTGCTGAATATGGGCTGAATTCTGTGGTATCACCATTCGGCATTTATACAACAGCAAGTTATTCTCCACTATGTACCCTGGGTGGCTAGTAGGGTCCTCTTGGACCTGTGAACGTAGCTTGTTCAGTTGTGGGTGTCTTTCAGCTTCTTCCCATAACTGGCTCATGATGGAACATGTTGGGCCCGTGTGATTGGCATGACAGTGCATCCGCCACCTTGTTAGTGTGCCCTGCCTTGTATTTAATGACATAATCGTAGCAGAGTAATTTGACTATCCATCGCTGCTGTTCCGAGGATAGTACGGACTGCTCCAATAGAAATTTCAGGCTATGGTGGTCAGTTCGTATGATGAACCTCCTCCCTAGAAGGTAGGGCCCCCACCTTTGAACTGCGAGAACAATTGCTATCAGTTCGCGTTCGTATACTGACTTGGCCCATTTCTATGTTGTCATTGCTTTGCTGAAAAACGCTAGTGGCCTTTCTTCTTGCATGAGGACCGCACCTACTCCTTGGCTTGCCGCATCACATTCAATGATGAATGTGATGAATGTGATGAGTAGAAACCATTGGGTGGGGATGAGTCAGTTATTTTGAGCTTCTCGAAGGCCTGTTGGGCCTCCCTAGTCCAGTAGAAACCATTCTTCTTAAGTAAACTTGTCAAGGGGGCAGCAATCAGTTCATACCCTCTGATGAATCGCTGGTAGTACCCTGTTAGACCCAAGAAGCCTCGTAACTCCTTAACATTTTGAGGTCGGGGCCAATTTATCATGCTTGAGATCTTTTCCGGGTCTGCTGCTACAATGCCGTTTTCGACTACGTGCCCTAAGTAGTGTACTTGCGTCTGTCCAAATGCGCACTTTGACTCCTTTGCAAAGAGTTTATGAGCCCTTGGTAGTTCCAAGGTGATTTGTAGATGTACTAGGTGTTCGTCCCATGTAGCGCTATATTCAAGTATATCATAAAAAAAAAAACGAGTATAAATTTAAACAAATGGGGTCGAAATATGTCATTCATAAGTGCTTGGAATGTAGCCGGAGCATTGGTCAACCCAAACGGCATGACCAAAAACTCATAATGCCCCTCGTGTGTACGAAAGGCAATCTTGTGGATGTCACCCTCATGGATCCGAATTTGATGATGTCCCGATCTCAGGTCTAGTTTAGAGAATATGGTCCTGCCGAGTTCATCTAGTAGTTCATCGATTACCGGTATGGGAAATCGATCTTTCACAGTAATGTTGTCCAGGGCCCTAGAGTCTGAACAAAATTGCCATGGCCCATCCTTCTTTTTCACAATACCGGCGAGGAGAATGGGCTTTGGCTGGGTTGTATAATTTTTCTATCAAGCATATCTTGCACTTGTCTCTCAATCTCTAGTTTCTGAAAATAGGGGTAACGATAGGGCCTTACATTTGTGGGTACCGTTCCGAGGAGCAATGGAATGCAGTCATCATGGACACGTTTCGGTGGTAGTTCCTTAGGCTCTTGGAAGATCATTGAGAACTTCTGAAGTAGCTGTTGTAGTTGTATGTGGGCTTCTTTGGATCTGTTGGAGTTACTTCCTTGGGCTAGAATTGGGCTGTTCCCGTGGGAGTCTATCTGCATTAAAATAATGTGGGCTAGGTCTGCTGCTTGTT